AGCTGTCTTTTCTTTTTCTTTTTTTTTTTTTTTTGAAGAGCCAAGGTCTCACTATGTTGCCCTGGTGCAGTCCCACTACCTATCCACCTGCAAGTTCTGACCTGCTCCCTTTCTGACCTGGGCCAGTTCACCCATCCTCAGGCAACCTGGTGGCCCTCCGCTCCCAAGTGGCCATACTGATGCCAAACTTAGTGCGGACACCCAGTTGGCATAATGACCAGCTTCTAAAGGTCTCTTCCAACTCCGAAATCCTATGCTGCTAACAGTCCCCTCTTCCTCCTGGGACTCTCTCCTCTTCCTCAGGAGTGGTCTCCTGTACCTCACCCTGAAAAAGCTGTGAAGCTCAACTGGGCCTGGAGCTGCTTCTGCTGACAGCAGCTTCCAGGTGCTCATAAGGGGCCAGGAAAGAGAATAAGGCGGCATGGAGGTTGCCAAGTCACGTTCCCCTTGGGGCCCCGCCCTCAGCAACTCCCTCACCTGGGTCTCCCGCAACTCTTGGTGGGCCATCTCTGCTACCACTTTTCCCGAGCTTCCTGCTGCTGCAGCTGGTCAATGAGCTGGATCTGCAGAATTAACTGCCTTCTAAGAGGTCAGCCGCTGATGGGCGGCCGCGCACTGCTGCAGGTGACCCAGATACTGGTCTTGCTGCTGCGACAGACTCTGAGCCTCTTAGCTCTTCAGCTCCGCCTGCAGGAGACCCTGGGCATGAGGGCAGGTGGTGGCTGGCTTCCAGATTCGGGGCCCATAAATAGGGTAGCGAGGGCACTGTGGGACTCTGTCGCCTGCCTGGGCCCCTGGCCCCTTGCTCCAGGCCTAAGTGGCTGCCTCCCTGACCTATAACCCCATGCCTCCTTCCCCAGGCCCAAATCGCACATCCCGCTTCCGCCATTTAACCTGTATGCCACAGGTAGCAAAGGAGAGGGAGCCAGCCACCATCTGCTAAGTGTGCTACATGCCTAATGCTTTCTGCATATTATCTCATTTAATCCTCAGCACCTCTGTGAGGAAAATACTTCCTTTCTAAGTGAAAGAAACCAAGACTTAGAGATGCAAAGTAGTTCAAAGGTGAGCAGTGGAGCCAAGGCCAGAATTCAGTTTGAATCTAAGGAGCCTCTGATGCCACTGTCTCTTTCCCTATGATTTGAGGGCTCCATGCCTCTAGCTGCAATAAGGATGTCCACGCCTGGGAGGAGTCTAGGGCTACCCACCTCTAAAAGTAAGAGGGCAGGAAGCAAGAAAAAGTCATGGTACTGCCCTGGAGGGTGCTGGGATCACCTGTCCCCCAGACTGGAGCTACCTCTGGCCTCCCACCTCCCTTCCCCAGAGCCTGGTGCCTGCCACCCAGCCCTTCTTGAATGGGGCAGGGGTTACCATCTCCTTCCACTCACCTAGCTGCTCCTTCAGCTCATGGTTCTGGGAGAGCGCGGCTGATGGTGGTACAGTCGTTCTGCACGGTTTGCCTGAGCACCTCTGACTGCTCCTCCCAGAGCTCAGCCTTCTGCCCCAGCTCCAGCAGCCTCTCCTCTTGCTCTCGCAGCCTCTCGTCCTACTCCCAGTCCAGGTGACTCAAGCCCTCATTTTTTGGGCACTCAGGCTTAAAGCTGTTCTGCCAGATTCTCCAGCTCCTTTCACAGGTGCTCATCCTCTGCTTGTAGCTGATGCTCCACCTGGAAGGGCCCTGCTGAGGGTTCTTGGGGGCGGGGGGTTAGTTGAAAAGGAAAGCAGACAATAATGGCCTCTGAATTCTAAAACAAACAAACAAACAAAAACAACCTCCTCTTGGTCCACAGCTCTTCTCTGGCTCTGCAAACTTGGCCTCCCTGCTAACGATTCCTCATACCCGGGTGGTAGCCAATCTTCCAAGCCGCTTTCAGATAGAGAGGACTGTGGGTCGCTGAGCACGGGCACTCCTCCCTCTTTGCTGATGGGGACATTGAGGCTCGTGGAGATTACAAGACTTAATGATCTTGGCACAGACCTCTTTCCCACTGCCTCAAAGTCTTTCCACATACCCCCCTCCTTGGGGTATTCTAAGCCACCCGACAGCCCTCTGATGCCAGTCCTGCTCCCAGGTCACCCCACCCCAGCTTATCCATCTGCTTCCTTAGTTCGGCCAAGCTTGTCACCAGCTCCTGTACCCAACTCTTGCTATGCACCCTCTTCTCCTTCACTGTGTACACCTGCCCAAAACAGAGGGAAAGGGCCTTGGAGAGAGGAGCTGGTGGATGGACAGGCTTCCATCTCCCTCTCTGCTCCCACCTCCACAAAGCTCAGACCCATGACCACTTCTGGCTGTGCTCCTCCCATTTCACAGATGCCCAAAACAATCAAGTGACCTCTCTAAGGCAGGGGCTCTAGAGTCAGGTCTCATCTGCTCTGACATCTTCCACATCCTCTGCCACCACATGACACCCTCTCCTTTCAGATTTTCAGTGTGTTGATCTTTCTCCATCTTAATTGTTAAGTGATTCCATCACCTGCAGGAATGGGCACAGAAGTTAGGAAGGGCTGTCTCTGGTCCTCACCTGCTCCTGACCACCTGGTATCATCTTCATCCCGCATCTCTCCCTCTGCAAAGCATCACCTGCCCTGGATGTGCTTCCAGCTGTGCCCGCTCCTCCATGGTCTGCTGTAACTGCTGGTTAGCATCAGGGGCTTCACGCCAGCTAGACAACAAGATGGTGAAAAGGAAGAAGTTTCGATCTGAGGCGCCTGGGTCATTCTACACAGTGCCCCTTAAAAGGGCTAGAGCTAGGCTCAATGTACAATTTGGTCAATAAAGATCTCTACTGTGAAGTTGCTTTGCTTTAGAAATAAAAAATTAAATAATTTTAAAGAGATATCAGGCTGGGCATGTTTGCTCATTACTGTAACCCAACACTTTGGGAGGCTGACGCAGGTGGATTGCTTGAGCTCAGGAGTTTGAGACCAGCCTGGGCAACACGGTGAAGCCCCGTCTCTACACATACAAAAATTAGCCAGGCATCGTGGTGTGTACCTATAGTCCCAGCTACTTAAGAGGCTGAGGCAGGAGGATCCCTTGGGCTGGGGAGAGGGAGGTTGCAGTGAGTCAAGATCACACCACTGCACTCCAACCCTGGTGATAGAGCAAGACCCCGTCCCAACAACAAACAAGCAAACAAACAAGAACTCTACTCTGTATAACCATGGAATAGCCAAAGTGTAGGATTGAACCTCAGAAGGAAATAAACAGACTCATGAGCTAGCCAATTAAGTGTAATCTATAAAATAATCATTTTCATCAATTATGCATTTAAAAAAAAATTTAAGCCCTAATCCTGAGGGTCTGATTCCCCAGGTCTATGGCAGGGCCCCAATTTGTAGACTTTAGCAGTCTAGAGGATTCTATGGCAGGACCAGAACAAGGACCCAAATTTTCCAGCTCTTCCAGCTGTGCCCTCTCCTCTATGATGTCTGTTTAGCATCAGGGGTTTCACACCAGCTAGAAAACTAGATGGTGAAAAAGGAGAAGTTTCGATCTGAGGAGGCTGGGCCATTCCACACAGTGACCCTTAAAGGGCTGTTCTTGTATAACTCCAGCCTGAGGGCATCTCTCTCTGGTTACCTCCTTGTTGTACTGAGCAAGCTCTTGGCTGGGGCCTCCCCATACCCTGCATGATCCCTAAGCCATGTCCCCAGCTGGATGGGGCTCCCACCACCCTGGGGCTGCAGCCTCTCTTTAGCTGCTGTGTCAGATGGTCTAGTTCTAGTTTCTTTTCAGCTCCTCCAAGTCACGCTGCATCCCTGCCTTGTCAGTCAGTACAACTCAAAGCTGCTCTGCCAAAGCTGAGTTCTCCTGCTTCAGCTCCTTACTGCTGTTGTTATGGCCGGAGGCAGTAGAGAAAGGAATGAACAAGAACAGAACGGACTGCTTTGGTGATTGATTCAGGTGACTGAAGCCCTCATTTTCTTGCACTTGGGCTTAAAGCTGTCCTGCCACATTCTCCAGCTCCTTCCGCAGGTGATCAGCCTCTGCTCGTAGGTGTTGCTCCATCTCAGATGACCCTGCTGGGGGATCCAGGGGTGGGGGTTCAGCTGAGAATAAATCCCTTCGTTCTTTCCTTGCTGTGTTTGTAGGTTTTGTCCAATTCTTTGTTCAAAGACACCAACCTGGGTGATTGTTTGAAACCCTGTAGGCTTGCCCCACAACCATAAAACCATGGCACTGGAAAGGACCCCACAAATCAAAAGTCTCAGGTGGCAGGCCAGAGAGAAGACA